GGAGGGGAAACATAGTTAATGCAGCATTTAAACAAATAGGGAAAGAGAAAAAGAAGAGCCACAGCTTTTGCTCTCAATATTTGAAATCCATCCTGTGAAGCAACATATTTTTATTCCCAGCAATAGAGACTTTCAATGAAAAGGCCAGTGATGCCGAAACCGGTTTGGCTCAGTGGACTGCGGACTGAAGAGTCCCAGGTTTGATTCTGGTCAAGGGCATGTACCTTGGTTATGGGCACATCCCCAATGGGGAGTATGGAGGAGGCAGCTGGTCATTGTTCCTCTCTCATCAATGTTTCTAGCTATCATTATCCCTTCCTCTCTGTAAAAAATCAATAAAGTATATTAAAAAAAGAAAAGAAATGGCCAGTGATTGAAACATGGGCTTGTTTATGATCTTCTAGAAACTGGACTACCTCAGTGAGGAGCAGACAGAGTTGGGACAAAGAGTTGTGCATACCAAGTTTTGTTCTTTTTTCTCAGTGGGGCTGAGTGTTGCCTCTTGACCAACATTAAAACCAACTTGGATCCATGTGCAAAACTTCTTGAATCTTCCCTTGCTTGCAGTTTCTTATCTTTCAGGTTGTCACATAGATGATCCTTCCCCATCAGTGTGTTTTGCCTGATAACCCATGGGATAGGTTACTGCTCTTTACACGCTACCATAATTCTCAGATGCCCCAAAGTTGGTGCTCTTTAAGGAATACCTTAATTCCCTGCTTAGCCAGCATTCTCCACTCACTAAACTTTAAGCCTCACAAAAACCACATCAGCTCTGCAACAAGACTGCACCTCATTCTAGTGCTCAGTCAATACTGGTTGAGGAAATGAACGCAAAACATACTGTATTTTCAGTGTGTGCAGCAAGGTGCATGTTTAGGTTTTGTTCATTAGAAAGTGACCTTTAATTTTCTCTGTAAAATCAGAATAATAATGTCAACCCTTCCAGGTGCTCAGATGATGGGGCAGGTCAATGTTCCCCAACTTGGGGAGCTGTGCATCCTGGGGGACATTTATGTGGCAATGTCTGGAGACATGTTTGGGTGGTTATGGCAGTTCCATAACAAAAGAATCATGCTGCTCAATGTGCCAGTAATTCTGAGGTTGAGAAATCCTGGGTTAAGAGGATGGGCACAGGTGGTGCCAGGTCAAAGGTGATTTTATTTTGCTTTATATACTGGAGTTTACCTCTTTGGATAGTACCAATAAAAAGTACATAGAGAAGAAGTTTATAATTACTATGTTTTTGCAATGTGTCACTCTATAAGCTTTTCATATTATCAAACTTAATCCTCTCAAGAGTGCTGTGAGTTAGGGACTCTTTTTCTCTTATGGAGATACTGAGACTTAAAAGGTTAAGTTATCCAGAGTCCAACAGCTACTGAGGGTCAGAGATAGGATGGGAACTCAAGGCCCTGTCTTTTGACTATGGCTCCATACTACTTTCTCTGTAATTATCTCCAGCTTGAGATCTAACAAGGTCTCTGCCTTCAGTATTCAGTAGAACGTAGAGCTGAAAATATAGAGGACATTTTAGCCTACTGAAATTCAAAAATGTCTTTTTCTACGTGTTTGTGATTTTATACTTGCACTGCTTTGCACGAAGACACAGTATATTGGCTGACATACTATGAAGGCTGTTGTTGATCCAAGGATGAGAAAAAAAATCTACCGTGCACTGCTATTTTGCGGGGTTCCCAGGAAGCTCAGCAAAAACCCTGAGAACTTGTCATTTCAAATTGCACTTGTCATAGCTGATCAGTACATTGTGATCTAGACGGGACTTTTCTCCGAGGAAGTTGGATACCCAGTAACGTTTGCCCTGCAATTCTGTGAGGAGTCCTCCTCAGGATGGAATCCTCGTCTCATGCAATTAGAAAAGAAGCACTCCTGAGTAGCATGACCTGAAAGGGCAAAGGCCTGGGGCAGAGGGACTTACTCTGCTTCCTGCAGAGGACACAGCTCAGGCAGGTGGAAAATTTCCAATTTGGGTACATAATGTCAGTCCAGGGCCAGTCCTGAACACTTTGTTCACTCCCAGTGATTATGGCCTAGGGGCTGTTAGCTGAGGAATGCTCAAGTAAATTCTGTCACCCTCAAGTATTGGTTTATTGTTTCTCAGGCCCTAAAATCTTGGCTAATCAGCACAGTTAAGCATCTACTGTTGTTATAGGAACTGACTGAGAGATCCTGGGGCAGCTGTTTTTCCCTTTTAGGAAAGTCTTATTCACTGTGGGTTACTTCCACGCTTGGAAGTTTCCTGTGGAGGACACAGAAACACTAGATTTTATTCTTTTAGTCTCCGTTTCCTACCTCCTTTGAAGAGTAAGTGCTAATAGCAATGCACAGTTTTTTGTCCTTCAATAAAGCATGCAAGTGGACTCTTCTGATTACAAATGACTCAGGCCAGACATAGGGCTTGTCATTCAGATAAACACTCTTCAGGTGTCCGCCAAGGCCAGGTGACATATGTTGTCACTGCACTGCCCCACCTTTAAAATGTAATTACATGTCAGATGTAATTTGAGAGTGTCTCTTGGGAACAGAAGTAGGTAGTAAGCCTTATGCCTGTACTTTTCTCAAAAGTGTCATTGGACATCATTACATCCACTCACTCTGCATGTAATAAATTAAAACTGAATGAGTAAGTGAGATGGCACTGTGTGTAGGACAGTGCTTTGATTTTAATGTGTACACTAGGGGCTCTCACTAACGTGTAGGTCAAGGTGATGATCCTGGACCAAGGGTCATACTTGAGTAGCAGGCTATTGGGGAATATTGAGATGGTTTGAACATTTGAAACCTGAGCTAAGGAAGGCACCAAGCATATGACATTAAACTCATTTTTCCTTTTCTACCCTTAGTTGTATTCTTTAAACATTGAGGGATTTTGCTAGAGGGGATGGCTGCTGTTCAGTGACAAACCATATATCTGTAAGTTTAACAAGTTAAATGATGTCTTATTTTTTTTTAAATAAAGTAATACACCCATCTGTTTATGCCTAGAAAGAGACCCCCACCTTCAGATAACCCCCCCCTTTTTTTTTTTTTAAAGAACAGGTTTCTGAACAATAAGTAATCAATCTGACCATTTTGGTTATGAAAGGCATTTTTAGATGGTTCACAATCTTTTAAATTATAGAAGACATTTACAATATCCTTGACACTTCAATAGCACTTATAAGTCTGTTTGGTTTTTAATTATGTTTCTAAAGATAGCTAAGAGAATGATTTCAAATAGTCCCTCCATGCATTTTGATATAAGTTATTTCAATCTCTGGATATTGGTGAGAATTAAGAAACTCGTAGCTTTCCATGTCCTGTCATGTTAGCATATCCTGTAGGAAAATCAAATCTGACACCTTTCAATTAGCTCCTTTACCTCTCTGATCTCAAAACAGATGAGACACGTCCTGGATCATGAAGGCATGGCTGCTATCCGTGGGTTGCCTTCACTTCCACAACAGTGTCTTCTATCCTGTCAAAGTCCTTCTTTAAAAGTAGGAAAAACTCATAGTTGGGAAGAAGGTTCTGCTGTTAAAAAATAATGTATTCCCATCAGGAGCTCTGCAACCCTTGAAGGAATCACAGTGGCATATCTCATCTGTACTTAGAGGTCCCAAAAGAAGGATAAGTGAAAATGTTAAGGACTGGAGTTTGGTCATTTTAATTGATAACTTGGATGTAAACTGTTTTGGAGAAAGACAAAGGATGAGAAGAAGCAAGTAATGGGGAAGGAATGTCTTCTCTCTGTCGTCACTCATCCATTGGCACCTTATGTTTATAGTGCTTCAGCACAGTGTCAGATCCAAAGGCTGCGTCTTTAGCCTGGCCATGGTGGCTCAGTGGTTGAATGTTGACCTATGATCCAGGAGGTCATGGTCCAATTCCCAGTTTGGGCACATGCTTGGATTATGGGCTCAATCCTCAGTAGGATTGAGGAAGCAAGAACCATCCAATCAATGATTCTCATCATTGATGTTCCTATCTTTCTCTCCCTCTCTGAAATCAATAAAAAAATTAAATACATACACACACACACACACACACACACACACACATACCCATAGGCTGCATCTTTCTAAATGACTTTGTCAGTCCCTGTTTTGCATTGGTTTATTTATAACTCAAAAGGGTTTCACATCGTTTTCCCTTAAAAATCTATTAGTTCCTCGTTCACTTGTCTCATCTTGCAAACAAGACTTGGACCAGTTGGATTTGTAGGTAACCTCCATATTTGGTTCAGTGGGTTCGGCAGTGCGCCTATCTATTTTGATATGCAAATAGATACTAAAGAGAAGGTGCTGATTGTGATTGTAAAATGCACAATATGATCATCTGTAGCGAGAGATAACAGTATGATTTTGTTTGGAAGATAATTGAGTCATTTTCATTTCTTGAATACCTTCGCAAGGAAATCGTTGTTACTTAAAGTGCCACTTAATGCCAATCACCTGCCTCTAGTCATTTAGTCCCAATTACATCATTCTTGAAAGGTGTACAATCAGGTCCCTTAACTGACTTTTTTTCTCTCTACTTCCCTACAACAGGTTGCAGATTGAGCTTAACCGAGAAGTTCATAGGCTGACTAACGCTGACCGGAACTACTACCGGAGAAGGGTCTTCCGCCCGCCCAGCTGGGCCCCTATTGAGCGCTCATAACTTGGCTTCCTTAGTTGCCTGTGCAGAAAATTATTGCTTGGAGCGTCTATATAGAAAATTTTCTCTATTGAATTTTTGTTCCGTTGTTTTAATTTTAATTTTAATTTTAATTTTTTGCACATGGAGGACAACAGCAAGGAGGGCACCACAGGTTGATAAGACCAGAGGTCACAGGGAGATCTTTCCACCGTGGGCCTTTGGGACTTTTTCTCTGATTGGATTTCTGGACTGTAACAGACCCCATCCAATCATTTTGGTTTTGCATTTTTTTTCCCCCTTCTTTTTCTTCATCTTTTTCTTTTGCCCAGCGCATTGTATTTGATTTCTGTACTTCAGCAATGGGCCTGCAGACCACACGGTGGCCCAGCCATGGGGCCTTTTTCCTGAAATCCTGGCTTCTCATTTCCCTGGGGCTCTGCTCACAAGTGTCCAAAGTCCCGGCGTGCCCCAGCGTGTGCCGCTGCGACCGTAACTTCGTCTACTGCAACGAGCGCAGCCTGACCTCAGTGCCTCTTGGGATCCCGGAGGGCGTAACCGTGCTCTACCTCCACAACAACCAAATCAACAACGCGGGCTTCCCTGCGGAACTGCACAACGTCCAGTCGGTGCACACGGTCTACCTGTACGGCAACCAGCTGGATGAGTTCCCCATGAACCTCCCCAAGAACGTCCGCGTCCTCCACTTGCAGGAGAACAACATCCAGACCATCTCGCGGGTGGCCCTGGCCCAGCTCCTGAAGCTGGAGGAGCTGCACCTGGACGACAACTCCATCTCCACGGTGGGCGTGGAGGACGGGGCCTTCCGGGAGGCGGTCAGCCTCAAGCTGCTGTTTCTCTCCAAGAACCACCTGAGCAGCGTCCCCGTGGGGCTGCCCGTGGACCTGCAGGAGCTGCGGGTGGACGAGAACCGGATCGCCGTCATCTCGGACATGGCCTTCCAGAACCTCACGAGCCTGGAGCGGCTCATCGTGGACGGCAACCTCCTGACCAACAAGGGCATCGCCGACGGCACCTTCGGCCACCTCACCAGGCTCAAGGAGTTCTCCATGGTGAGGAACTCGCTCTCCCAGCCGCCGCCCGACCTCCCGGGCGCACACCTGCTCCGGCTGTACCTGCAGGACAACCAGATCACCCACATCCCCCTGACGGCCTTCGCCCACCTCCGCAAGCTGGAGCGCCTGGACATCTCCAACAACCGGCTGCGCGCGCTTACCCGCGGGGTCTTCGACAGCCTCTCCAACCTGAAGCAGCTCACGGCGCGCAACAATCCGTGGCTCTGTGACTGCGGCATCAAGTGGGTCACCGAGTGGCTCAAGTACATCCCTCCCTCCCTCAACGTGCGCGGCTTCATGTGCCAGGGGCCCGAGCAGGTGCGGGGGATGGCCGTCAGGGAGCTGAATCTGAATCTCCTGTCGTGTCCCACCACCACCCCGGGACTGCCCGTCTTCACCCCAGCGCCTAGCACCGCTGTTCCGACCACTGAGTCGCCCACGCCCTCCGCCCCCACCCCCGGCAGGAGCTACCCGCCTCCGACCCCCACCGCCTCCAAGGTCCCCACGTTGCCTGGCGACGGGGATGGCAGAGAGAGGGGGACCCCGCCTCTGTCGGAGCGCCTCCAGCTGTCGGTGCATTTCGTGAACGACACGTCCATCCAGGTCAGCTGGCTGTCCCTCTTCGCCGTGATGGCCTACAAGCTCACGTGGGTGAAGATGGGCCACAGCCTGGTCGGGGGCATCGTGCAGGAGCGCATCGTGAGCGGGGAGAAGCAGCACCTGAGCCTGGTCCACCTGGAGCCCAGGTCCACCTACCGCATCTGCCTGGTGCCCCTGGACGCGTTCAACCACCGGGCGGCGGAGGACACCGTGTGCTCCGAGGTCACCACACTCGCCTCGTATCTGAACAACGGCAGCAGCAGCAACACGGCCTCCAGCCACGAGCAGACGACGACGCCCCACAGCCTGGGCTCCCCGTTCCTGCTGGCGGGCCTGATCGGGGGCGCCGTGATCTTCGTGCTCGTGGCCCTGCTGGGCGTCTTCTGCTGGCACATGCACAAGAAGGGGCGCTACACGTCCCAGAAGTGGAAGTACAACCGCGGCCGGCGGAAAGACGACTACTGCGAGGCGGGCACCAAGAAGGACAACTCCATCCTGGAGATGACGGAGACCAGCTTCCAGATCGTCTCCTTAAATAACGATCAGCTCCTTAAAGGAGATTTCCGACTGCAGCCCATTTACACCCCGAACGGGGGCATCAGTTACACGGACTGCCACATCCCCAACAACATGCGATACTGCAACAGCAGCGTGCCAGACCTGGAGCACTGCCACACGTGACGGCCTGGCCCGCGAGGACCCTCCCGGGGACACACACACACACACACACATGTGTGTGTGTGCGGCCTAGAGACATGCAGATTACATTTGATAAATGTTCCTCAGATGCGTTTGTGCATTTGAATACTCTGTAATTTATACGGTGTACTATATAATGGGATTTAAAAAAAAAAAAGTGCTATCTTTTCTATTTCAAGTTAATTACAGACGGTTTTGTAACTCTTTTGCTTTTTAAAAATCTTACAAAAAATATATCTATAGTCGCTGAAGTACTGTACAGGGTGGTACAAAAGAGAACCCAACGCCAAGGCGAGAGAGAACCGGTGATTTCTTCCTTCTGATGCACATTCACCACTTTGCTATTGACGCTGTCAGGACACATGCCTTTTCCTAGAGCTGGTGGTCAGACAAAAGGGGCCCTGCAAATGGACTCATCGGGGTAGGAGACATTAATGGGGGTCAAGCAAAGGATGGCCCAGATATGTTCAGGCTATCTCTATACTTCCTGGTCTGGAAGAAAAATTTTTTTAAAAAATGCCAAAATATAAGAAAGGAAGTAGTTACCCTGAGTTGACCCAAAGCAGGAAATGGAGAGATCATCACCAGGAAGGCAGTTCCTGTGAGATGCCTTAACCCAAATGGGCGGCATCAAGAAAATGAGGCGAGTTTTGAACAGACCCTCAAACCTGGGGGTTGGTGTTCAGACCAGGAACTTAAAAAAAAAAAATCACTCCTCGTGCTTCCCTGGTCCTATGTGATGACAGAGTTAGAGACCTGAGTCTGATTTGACTCATCTTCAGGGACATGTACGATGTCCCAGCAAGAAGATTTCCCTTTAGAAGTGTTACTATTCAAAGTATATGTCAGGTTGAATCACATTCAACAGAGATATATTCTAGAATACTTTTTTTTAGAAGAGGCTAATAAAAAATAATGGGAAGATTATATTGAATGGAATTATTTTTGATAATGAGAATTATTTGGTAGAGTCACTGCAGCTATGTCAACATGATATTGAGACAAACAAGGGGTCATCAGTGTTTGGAATAGACTGAAACAGCTCGGCAGTTAAAAATTATTGATACTCTTCAGAACAAAAGCAAGAAATTAGTGGTTCTGCTATATGGTCATCTGCCTTTGTTAATATCATGTTGAAATAGCTTGAACTAATACCTTTAACCCCTGGCAAATTCTTGTCTTCCAGTCACCTCACCTATATTTTCATAATTAGCTGTTTATGCTGTTTGTTTTTCTCCCTGCTCTGGTCAGAATTTGAAAGAAAATTATGGATACCAGTTTTGGTTGCACAAAATATCCATATATATTTTAAGACGTATACTAATTTTCATCACTAATAATTCTATGAGGACACATCAAAACTGAACAAAAAATGCATTTAAAACAAACAAACAATATTGAGTTTTCTCCTTGGACTGACTTTGATTCTGTCCAATTTTGAAATTTTATTTATTCCTTTTCAATCTTGGATGGTCCTCTTATTTGGGAATTGCAGAGGGATAATCAATCTTATATTAACATGATAACAGATGAAAAATGAACAAGTCAGTGAGCCAAGTTTTTCCCCCTAATCTTGGCAGGGCTGGGCACAGAGCAGAGGGCATAGAGAAGAGAGGGATGTCCATGCTTCAATCTGGACCGTTTTGAGGCAATGCCCATCTTCAGAAAGCATATATAATTTCCTCCTTTCAATCCCTTAGATTTAGAAGGGCTATAGATCTCATATATCCTCTGAAAAAAAATATACCCTGGAAAAAATCCTTTACAAAGGCAAATTTAGGCATTTCACTCTGTTGCATATTTTCTCTACCACTGGCCATTATTTTAGGGACCCAGAAATTTAATGTCACAATCATTTTGTGCTTGTGTTCACTCACACACACACACATTCTCTCTTTCTCTCTCTCTGTCACCCACTTTCAACAAAATCGAACTGTGATGTGTCTTCTTTGTACGTTTAGGTATACAATGCTATGCAAGTTTTTCTTTCTAGTAAGAGCTTTATTTTCTTTAATCATATAGCCCCCACTTATATGTTTTAGCCTTCCTGCTCCCTCAGAATAAGCAGAAAACATAATGGATGATATCATATTATAGACACAAGAATGGAAACTATGCAGTCCGTGGAGCTGAAATTAACTATGAATTAATTGAATTAATTCTACAGTGATTTTGATTTCCATTTTAGTTGATTAGCTAGTGAGTTTTGGCTGTTCCTTTTCTAGAACGAGGCCCACACAGTGAAGGGATGAGACAGTCTGTGCAGGTGGTCAGTAAAAGCAGTGAACCGCCTCAACCTCAGGACAATGACATGGGGTTTTGTGTATTCAACTGGATAATTCACTCCCACCGCCCCCCTCACCTTGGCTGTGTAGATAAAACTATGTGTTCAAATGATGGTACTTGGACTTTTGAGTTGTTTTCCTTTTATTCACAGAATAATCACTCTTATTTATTTGCGTTGTGTGTCTAATCCCTAGTGGGATATTTGGCTGCTAGCATGATTTACTCTGGGCCCAGGTTGGAGAGGTTCTTTCACATCTTATGGGATTCACAGGATCATTTGGGGCTTAAGGGGAATATTGGGAACTAGTCCTGTGAAATGGTTAGGATGATCGCAAAAGGCTCCTTTGCTAGAAGATGCTCCCGAAGAGAGAGAATCTGGTTACATCTTGTAGTGCCACATGACAAAGATGGCTAAAATGGAAAGCAGACCCCATTTGTAATCACATACCTGAGGCGCTCACCTGCACCAAGGTGAGAAACACATCATGAGATGTGTAATATGGTGTGTGTCTTAGGAAAACTGCTCAACAACCATCAGTGGTGGCTTATGCTTCGAGGTATTTGGGCCTGTTTTGCTGGCAGCGTTATGTATTCTGAGGAGTTCAGTCCACAGTCAAAGTTGAAGGTGCAGGCCAAGATGATGAGCAAAGCCACACCCACTGGCTTGTAAAGAGCTGATGCTGTCGGACCAAGTTGATTTCAGAGAGTAAGCCGCCAGCATGCAGAGGAGACTCTTAAGAAAGAGGCATAGTCATGATCATAGAGATATTACTGACCACCATTCATGTCCAGGGTCATCATTCATACCTGCTTGTTTAAGGAAATGTGTTTGATCACGGAGGGACCCTGCGCTTTCCTTAAAACTACCAGACACATTAGTGGCCCATCGCATGGGACAGTCACAGGCAGAGACTGGACTGTGTTCCCCTTGTTCTACCCGTGAGAAATATTGCAATTTCTAATTATCTGGATGTTGGTTGAAAATACACTAAAATTTCCCCTGCCCTGAGGTTAAAAAAAGGGGAGGGGGTGTCATTTGACAATCTGGTAAGACATATTAATGAAGTAGCTAATATTACAGATCCATTTTCTACCAGTGCAGATTATAATGGTCTCAGACATTTCACAGGAGTCAGAACTTCCCCACTGAGGACATGCTCTTTGTGTGAGCAGAGCATCCATTCCTAACACAGGGAGCAGAGGTGGTCCTGCAGGCCATAGCAAACTTTGACAGTAAGTGGTTACTTTCCATTGACTTCTTTGTTCATAACGCCCTTCTCTAACCCATCACAAGGAGACATTACGCTTCACTTTAGAAGGTGAGAATAACTTTGCTCATGACTTACCTTTCCAGCTGCCTGAGAAAGCAAAGCAGGAAAGAATACCCAACTGGGAAAGAGATATATACACACAACAAACAAAAGACCCCTTCCAGTCCTCAATTCTGTCAAACCTTGCCTGAGGCTCTTATGTTTCACACAAAGCTCTAATATAGAAAGCTGTCATGTACATCCTTCTCTGATGTCTTCAGCAGGATAGAAAGACAGTACTGGTGATGAGGGAATGCTTGTCACCGAGTGTGGGGAGAACGTTTTGTACACATATGACACTGTTGTTAGAATATACAAATCATGTCATTTTACTAAGCGCCTCATTTATCTAGCAGCACACCCACCAGAAGAGCACAAAGCAAGGCCATCACAACAGGCATTTTTAAACAAGTGTAAAACACGTGTGTGCACACACAAACGCACATGCTGGGGCATTTGTAGAGAGATGGCATGTCAGATTTATAACCTTTTGGAGGCAAGATGAAGGCGTTGCCACTGTGTGTCCCTCAGAGGACCAGCATATCTTCACTGAGTGTTAACCCTGATGATGTGTTATTGTTTGAATCATATGTTGATTTGCTTCTGTTCTCGTGAGTACTCGCTGACAAGGGACTGCAAGGGGCTGGAAGATTCTGCATCGCTCACCCTCTGAGACCTACCATGTCGCACACTTTGTTAACTACAAATTCACTCTACACTATACAGTACCTTGTTGATATATTCAGTAAAGGCTTATTTTAAAAGAAAACCACATTGTGTTTATCTGAGTACATTTGTTGGGTTACAGCCAATGCTTGTTAATGGTAGAGAAACGAGGGATCGTTCTAGATCATACAGGAAGAGGGCAGGAATGAAGGAGAGAATAGGATTTTTGTTCTCTCCTAACCTTGAAGACAGTGTTGGTGTTTTAAGATCATTTGACTCTATTCATGTAAGGGTTTTACATGAAATCTTCATGTTCTCTTCTATTAAATCATGCGTTCCTAAAAATATATTTAAAATGTAAACACATACTTTGAGCATATTATTTTGTATTTGTGAAGCCTATGTTGTTTAACATATAGGTAAACACCAGTGTAATTATCTAATCAGAGTAGTCTTTTTCCCTTATAAATTATTGGCTTTAAATGTCAATTTTCCTCAAGAATTCTTTTGGTTTTCTACTTCAAAATTTTTTATTGCTCATCTACCTATACTTTTAATTAGCACTCATGAAAAACTTATCCATATGCCCAAATTTGACTCTGGATTAACCTCATGATCTTCCAGCCCCCCATCCCCTTTTTCTAAATCCCCTCTGTGCCATTTCACTAATAATATATTAGAGATTAAACCAGGAAATAAAATCAGGACACTACAGTTAAC